GGTCCCCTCTTCTCCATCACAGTCCCTAGTCCCCATTCCGGTGGTCCATTCTCCATCGCGGTCCCTCCTGGTCCCCTCTTCTCCATCACGGTCTCTCCCGGGACGCTGGACCCCATCCCGGTGGTCCGTTCTCCATCGCGGTCCCTCCCGGGATACTGGTCCCCATCCTGGTGGTCCGTTCTCCATCGCGGTCCCTCCTGGTCCCCTCTTCTCCATCCTGGTCCCCATCCCGGTGGTCCGTTCTCCATCGCGGTCCCTCCTGGTCCCCTCTTCTCCATCGCGGTCCCCATCCCGGTGGTCCATTCTCCATCGCGGTCCCTCCTGGTCCCCTCTTCTCCATCACGGTCCCTCCCGGGACACTGGTCCCCATCCCAGTGGTCCGTTCTCCATCGTGGTCCCTCCTCATCCCCTCTTCTCCATCACGGTCTCTCCCGGGACGCTGGTCCCCATCCCGGTGGTCCGTTCTCCATCGTGGTCCCTCCTCGTCCCCTCTTCTCCATCACGGTCCCTCCTGGGCCACCAATCTCCATCGTGGTCCCCCCTTCTCCACTACAGTGCCTCCTGGGCCACCATTCTCCAGCGTGATCCCCCCTTCTCTGTCATGGTCACTCCTGGGACGCAGCTCTCCATTGCGATTGTCCATCGTGGTCCCTTCTGGTCCCCTCTTCTCCGTCACAGTCTCTCCTGGGCCACCGTTGTCCATCACGGTCCCCCCTTCTCCACCGTGGTCCTTCCTGGGCCACCGTTCTCCATCGCGGTCCCTCCTGGTCCCCCCTTTCACCACCGTGGTCCCTCCCGGGACGCCGTCGGCCACCGTGGTCCCCCATTCTCCATCACAGTTCCTCCCGGGATCACGTTCTCCATCACGCTCCCCTGTTCTTCATCACGGGCACCTTCTCTCCATCGCGCTCCCTCCTGGAACGCTCTTCTCCATCGCGGTCCCTCCTGATTTCCCCCCCCCTCCCCTCCTTCTCCTCCACCGCGGTCCCTCCGGGGACACCGTTGTCCACCGCGGTACCCGTTGGCGGTTGCAGGTACGACAACATGGCCGAGCTCTTTGCGGTGGTGAAGACGTTGCAGGCTCTGGAGAAAGCCTACATCAAGGACTGCGTCTCTCCTAACGAGTAAGTCCTCGGCGCCGAGCGCGGCGATGCCATCGAGGTGCCACCGTCTCCCTCCTGGAGGGGACGAACCCGTCCCTGTCCCTCCCCAGGTACACGGCCGCCTGCTCCCGCCTCTTGGTCCAGTTCAAAGCCGCCCTCAAACAAGTACAGGGTTCCGACATCAGCTCCATCGACGACTTCTGCCGCAAATTCCGGGTGAGTCAAAAGCCGTGCCGGTCCCCTCGGTGCCGGCGTACACCGGGCGCCACGGTTTTTTGGGCGTCGGGGGTTTTGCGGGCGCTGCTGACGGCGATGTCTACCCCCTACCCCAACAGCTTGACTGCCCCTTGGCCATGGAGAGGATCAAGGAGGACCGGCCCATCACCATCAAGGACGACAAGGGCAACCTCAACCGTTGCATCGCCGATATCGTCTCCGTACGGTGCCGGGGCTCCGTTTCGGTAGTTTTGGTGGGGTGGGAACGGTCACGGTTGAACCGAACGCTCTTTTCTTTTTCGTAGCTCTTCATCACGGTGATGGACAAGCTGCGCCTGGAGATCCGCGCCATGGACGAGGTAGGACTCATCCCCGTGCCGCAGCAGCGCCGGGAAACTCCCCCCCCCTCCTCAAATTTTGGCAAATACCGGCGCGGTGTGGTTCACAACCCCCCCTAAATTCTCTCCCCAGATCCAGCCGGATCTACGGGAGCTGATGGAGACGATGAACCGCATGAGCCACCTACCCCCCGACTTCGAGGGCAGGCAGAAAGTCAACCAGTGGTGAGTACCGAGGCGCCGGCGTCGCTACCGGCACCGTTTTCGAAGCGCCGGTGATGCCACCACCTCCTTTTCCTCACCCCTTCTCCCAGGCTCCAGACGCTGAGCGGGATGTCGGCGTCGGATGAGCTGGACGATTCCCAAGTACGGCAGATGTTGTTCGATCTGGAATCCGCCTACAACGCCTTCAACCGCTTCCTCCACTCTTGAGCCATCCGGCGCGCGCCGGCACCGCCGTTCCCTCCCACTTCGAGCCTCCCAGTCCCCCTCCTGGTCCTTACTGGCGTTAAGAGAGACAATAAAACCTTTACCCGTCACCTACGGGCGACGCCGGGACCCCGAAAAGCACCAACCACGTTGATAAATACGGTGTGTAATGGCCGCGCCGGTTAAAACCGCGAGACGCCTGTGTCGCCGGTGCTTCAGAGGCTCTTACAGCCCAGGCTCCAGACGCTGAGCGGGATGTCAGCGTCGGATGAGCTGGACGATTCCCAAGTACGGCAGATGTTGTTCGATCTGGAATCCGCCTACAACGCCTTCAACCGCTTCCTCCACTCCTGAGCCATCCGGCACGCGCCGGCACCGCCGTTCCCTCCCACTTCGAGCCTCCCAGTCCCCCTCCTGGTCCTTACTGGCGTTAAGAGAGACAATAAAACCTTTACCCGTCACCTACGGGCGACGCCGGGACCCCGAAAAGCACCAACCACGTTGATAAATACGGTGTGTAATGACCGCGCCGGTTAAAACCGCGAGACGCCGGTGTCGCCGGTGCTTCAGAGGCTCTTACAGAAGAGCTTACGGTGGCGCGTGACGGCGCTCAGCACCGCGCCGGCGGCAGCGCGCCAAGCTTTGCCGGCGTCCCGAGGACACCCCCTCCATCCTCTGTGTCACCCCCAGATGTCCCCAAGGTCCTCTTGTCCCCCCACTTGGCCACCTCTTGTCCCCAGGGTGCCCTTTTCCATCCCCACCACGTCCCCGCACCGTGCTCCTGTGCCGGAGCCGGCGCAGATTCTCCATCAGAAGGCAGAGGGTGAGGAACCTGCTGCCAGGACACCCCCTCCATCCTCTGTGTCACCCCCAGATGTCCCCAAGGTCCTCTTGTCCCCCCACTTGGCCACCTCTTGTCCCCAGGGTGCCCTTTTCCATCCCCACCACGTCCCCGCACCGTGCTCCTGTGCCGGAGCCGGCGCAGATTCTCCATCAGAAGGCAGAGGGTGAGGAACCTGCTGCCAGGACACCCCCTCCATCCTCTGTGTCACCCCCAGATGTCCCCAAGGTCCTCTTGTCCCCCCACTTGGCCACCTCTTGTCCCCAGGGTGCCCTTTTCCATCCCCACCACGTCCCCGCACCGTGCTCCTGTGCCGGAGCCGGCGCAGATTCTCCATCAGAAGGCAGAGGGTGAGGAACCTGCTGCCAGGACACCCCCTCCATCCTCTGTGTCACCCCCAGATGTCCCCAAGGTCCTCTTGTCCCCCCACTTGGCCACCTCTTGTCCCCAGGGTGCCCTTTTCCATCCCCACCACGTCCCCGCACCGTGCTCCTGTGCCGGAGCCGGCGCAGATTCTCCATCAGAAGGCAGAGGGTGAGGAACCTGCTGCCAGGACACCCCCTCCATCCTCTGTGTCACCCCCAGATGTCCCCAAGGTCCTCTTGTCCCCCCACTTGGCCACCTCTTGTCCCCAGGGTGCCCTTTTCCATCCCCACCACGTCCCCGCACCGTGCTCCTGTGCCGGAGCCGGCGCAGATTCTCCATCAGAAGGCAGAGGGTGAGGAACCTGCTGCCAGGACACCCCCTCCATCCTCTGTGTCACCCCCAAATGTCCCCAAGGTCCTCTTGTCCCCCCACCTGGCCACCTCCTGC